AAAAAAAAAAGAATAAAATTTAGCACTGGTCTGCAAACGTTTTCTGTAAAGAGCAAGATAGTAAATATCTGAGGTGTGTACTCAATTCTGCCCTTAAGGAGTGAAAGCAACACACAAATGAATGGGCGTAACTGTGTCCCAATAAAATTTTATTTACAAAAGCAGGCTGCAAGCTGGATTTGACCTGTGGGCCATCGCTCTAGGAAATAAAAGGCCTATTCAGCCTTGAAATAAATCTCCTAACTTAGCTTGTAATAAGAATCAAATAAGAGTTTGAGTTACTCTCTATGGCAGGAATGCAAAGTATAGCTATTCCATGCTCCTATCGACGAACAGATCTGTGTACTTTGAAAATAGCTTAGAGGGTAGAAGTGGGATCCTAAAATAAGACACAAGACATCCTGCCCGGGCTTGGGCCTGAGAGGATGGCCACCTGGCAGATACCAGCGGGGCAGTGTGAGATAGCCCATGTAGGTAGGGATCTGAGAGTCGGAAACAGGCACAGTTCAGAGGATGGGCTGGATAACCCGACCAGCCCAGTGTAATGTTTATTTAGTCCAGTGGCTCTCCAGGTATGACCCCTGGACAAGCTGCGTCAGCATCACCTGGGAACAAGCCCCGCCCCAGACCTATTGAATAAAAAAGCTCTGGGAGTAGGGTCCCACAGTCTGCATTTTACCAAACCCTCCAAGTGCTTCTGTAGCAAGTTCAAGTTTGAGAATTGTCGAGGCCCCTGATCATAACCTCTGTGATTCTCCTCTTGAGCAGGGAAAGATCCAGGAGATTCTCCAAAGCCTACAGGCAAGTCCTCTCTGACCGCCAATCTCATTCAGAAAGCCAAGCGCCAGAACAACACCTTCCCGCTCTTTGCTGAAGGACTCACGCGAAACCGAACTGCCCAGGAGAAGGTTTTGGCCTTAGAGCAGCAGGTTCTGATGCTCACCAAGGAGTTAAAGTCTCAAAAGGTAAGCTCTGGCCTCAGGGAGGCCCCAGGCTCCAGCAGACCCCTCTGGGCACAGGCTAGTCTGTGGTCCTTAACAGACAAACTGTGGATGGTTAGAAATGCTGTACTGTTGATTACTGAGGGACATGCTGTCACTCACACTAGGTGACAGAAAGCCGCTGTGGCAGGGTCTCTGGAGACTTTAATAATTGTCCCTCAAATTCCTCCTGGAGGACTACGCACATCTGATCCCACACCCAAAGATGGACAGTATTTGGAGGAGGGTCATATGGGTGTAGGGTCCTGGGAGGGGCCACTGAATAGCTGGGGGATCCTTGATCTCTGAAGGATTGTCACAGGACAGAGAGAGCAGGCAGTTCCATATGGCCCGGGGGCTGTGCCAGGCCCAATGGGACAGTGACAGGGAGGAAGATTTAGGTTTAATAGAGAGAGAAGTGAATTACAGCAGTTAAAAAAAAGGAAGAGCTAAATGGTCATTGTAGAAAGCAGATCACAAACATACACAGACATGAAAATCATTAAAAAGCCTACAACCCAGAGAGTAAATCGTGTTCGCATCCAGGGGCAACCTCATGAAGCCGTGTGGGTCACGTGGCAGGGATGCGAAGGGGGCTGCAGCACTGGGTAGCAAGCTCTCTTTAGCACAAAGTGATTAAATTAGCACAGTTGTTACCGAAAATCCCAAGGGTGGTGCTTGGTGGTGCCTCCAGTGATGGCCTCACTGAAGGCCCAGGGTCCTTCTCCTCTGAGAGGAAGACCTAAACTTTTGTGTTTGAGTCTTGGCTGCCCTGAGTCTCTGCTTTGTTTTCTGGCTCTTGCCCCTGGGGAGGTCGGGGATGTACTGTATTTTCTTCTGAATATTCTCCCCCTTCTTCATTTCTTCGTTTCTTTTCTGCTCTGTTTTTGGAGAAGACAGTTCAGAAAAATCCTCTCCCTACCTATTTGTGCTGCTCCTTGGTCTTTCTTGTTACCAAGCAGATATGTGGGGAAACACTGGAGGCTTCATTCCTGGCGGGTCAGGAGTTATATTTAGTGAAGCAGCTGGTAGAGTTCTGAAAGGAGGAGGAAGCTCATTCATTCATATATCCTCAATGCATTTGTTTGTTCACCATGTCTTTATTGAGGGCCTGCTTGTGCATACAGTAATCTAGGTGCCAGGGAACAAACAGTGAAAAAAGACACAGGTCTTTTTTCATATTTCATGGCAGAGATAGGCATTAAGCAAATCAACACACAAATATATTATGATGGCATGTGAAGTCCCCTCTGAAGCCACTTAGCAACCCCACTATCCCTTTTCCTCCCCAAATGTCCATGTTCCTATCATGAGGCTGTTGGATGCTCCTTAGAGCTGAGAGGGCATTAAGGTGAATTATAGCAGCTGTCTGATCCCTAAAGCAATACAGCTTAAGTCCCAAACCCGAACCTGGACAGGAAAAGAAATCTGGAATGTAAACACTGCCTGTCCTTTCACCATACCTGCCCCTTGGTTTTAGGAAATATGGGCAGCCTCCCTTGACTTGGCTTTTCCTTCTAAGATATTATGAATTGTCAAATGAAGTAGAGAGGCCCCAGGAGACCGAGATTTCATTCAGGTTTGCCCCGACAGCTCTGCAGCCCTGGCGAACGCACCATTCCTCAATAAATGAAGGCAAAGTCTTAGAGATTTGTCAGGGCCGCCCAGGCAGTTGACACTGTCCTATAGTCAGAGTGAAAATGTCAGGAGGAAGTTATTCAAGCATTAAAGAATCTGGACTTTCTTACTAGTTCACTTTCCAGCAAACCTGAGCCCTGCTCTAGAACAGATAGGAGATCAAATCACGTGGTTTAGCTTTTGACTCACAAAATGAGTGGATTTGCATGCTCTCTGACCCATCTTACAAATGCACTTCGATCTTGTGGGTAATTCAGCACAGATCTTTAAATAAGATGGTGTAGGCCCCAACTCTGGCCCTGAGCAAGTTTCTTAACCTCTCTAAGCCACAGTTTCCTCTTCTTTATATGGAGTTATAACCATGTTTCCTGCAGAGGCCTGTGACCAGATTTATAAAGCCAAGTGCCTGGCCCCCCAGCAGCTGCCCAGTAGATATAGGCTTTGGTTATTTTGGCTATTACCAGCATCCCTTGCCCTCCTTGTTGATTCCTTCTTGCCTTAGAAGGAATGACACACACCCCAAGGGGCTCTGAGGAGAACCCTCCTTAGGCATTCTGGGAAACAGACATGAGCCCATAAGGGCCTCCAGGAAATGTGCTTGTGGGGCATAGAGTGATGGGCAGAGGTCAGATCTTCATTCCACATTAGGAAAGGGGAGCTCCAGCCACCAACTCTGGGGTTTTGCCTCCAATCCAGATACCAAAACCAAAGAGGGGAAGGAGAAAAGGAGACCAACTCTTGGTCCAGAGGTAGGACAGAGGAGGCTGGCACAACCTTGGGATGCCCAGCAGTGCCCTGGGCACTCAGAAATGCTGGTAGGAGAGCAACATTTCATCTGACCCTCCGAGTCCAGGTCCTCAGCTGGGGAAACGGTCCCCTGGACTTACTTGGACCCACATCTACAAGATGCTCTTCCGTGTCTCTTTGGTGGGAAGGCACTGTCTTTCTGCCTGAGGCCATAGGAGGACATGGGAGCGGGGAGTCTTGTCCTGACTCAGACAGCCAGATAGCCATTGCGAGCAGTTTTATGGTCCTTTAAGAATTTATATCTCAAACTCTCTTGGATGCTATAGAGGACCCTGGTCTTTTACTCCTGGTTTAGGACTCTGGTCACAGCCCATTTGCCTCCATGATCTCACGATATGGCCCAGTATAACACACAAGCACCATAACTGCTCTTCAGAAAAAATGGAACATGTTCTCTGTGCCTCCCTGGTGTCATATTAAACCACAAGGTGACTCTCATACCCATTAAGCCATTATCCACCCCAAGACCCTACAGTGCTGGCCCCACGAGAGATTTGGACTCCAGGAGATGGTCCCAGATGGCTGCTTGACTGGGTGACTCAGGCTCTCAGAGTTGACAGAATTGCACCCAGCCTGAAGTCCGTCTGCCCCAGCAGATGGAAGGCTGTTGTTTGTGGTGATGTTCACCATCTGCTTGCTGCCGGTAATGAGTACCCCCACAGGGCCCTGCCTGGCACCTTCTGGAACCAACTTAGCCAGCTCAGGATTACTTGGTGAAGACATGTAATTTGTTTAAGAAACTCAGTGGGGGCAAAATACAGCCTCTTACTTCCCTACGACTCCAGCAGGAGACTTCACAGTGCATTCCCCCTGCACAGGGTGCAGACACTTCAGGGAGCACGCCCCCTGCACAGGGTGCAGACACTTNTTTTAGCTGAGCCATCCTGCCACCTGTTGGCAGCTCAGCGGCTGCTCAGCTCGGGCTGGGACTCGAACCGCTGTTGCTCAGAGCTCAAACTCTTGAGTGAGCTCTTAACTAACTGAGCTACTCGGCCGGCCCTCTAAGTCAGTGATTTTTAAAATTACATCTTTATTGCCATGAGACTTTGATGCCATAAACAAAATCTAATATACAAAGCAGTTAGAAGCTGAGTTGAGTCAGGGGTGGGAGTCTGGACTCCCCGTGGTCCCCCCACCCTCTGCCCTCATAGTCAGCCATTGAGACACTCCCACAAAATCATAGGGCATTGATTGAAAACAGCTGTCCTAGGCCTGGTTTTCTCCAACTGTGAAATGGGCACAGGAATCCCTACCCTGCCTGCCATCAGGCCTGGTGGATAGTAGTGTTATCCAAAGGCAGCAGGGCTGCAAGGAGGCTCCCTGCTCTCTTAGACCCTGTGTCAGACAGGAGAAAGAGCCATTGTATTCCTCTATGGGCTGCTTTGTTCTCGGTGCAGCCAGATTTCTTTTAAATCTGTAATAAGACCATTCGGGTCTTTTACCCAACAATGCCAAGGAGTTTCTGGTTCCTGTCACCTACTGGAGTAGTTCTTTATCTGTTCAAGACTGTTCGGCTGGCCCTCAGCCTGGTCCCAAGAAGGCAGATGCTAAGTCATTTGGCTCGTCCTCCAAGCCCTGCCTGTCCCCTCCCCTGAGACCCCATACCACATCCTTACTTGTAACACCTGAGTCCCAAAAAGATTGGGGATAGCTTATTAAAGTGCATGTCAGGAGAAGTAAATGAGTAATTTGGGTTAAGAAATCTAACAAGATTGACAGAGTAGCTAAGGGTAGGCAGCAGATGTGGCTCTGAGCTTCTCGGCAGCCAAGGCAAAGAGAGAAATGCAAATGGTTAGATTATTTCCAGTGACCATAAGACCGAACACATATTTTCTTAAAAGAAGCAAAGCTTTTCCTGGCACTGGGGGCTGAGGAAAATTTCTCCTGCCAGGCCTCACAACATGATGTGTATGTGCTACGTAAATAAGATTCTCAAGGTCCTTTCACCGTATACAATCAGCCATTAAATGTCCATGGATGCAGGCTGATGGCAGAGCCCTAAAGTAAAGGATAGGGACAGGGCAGGAAAAGGTGGCCTGGGTGAGTGACTCTGGCATTTGATTTGATTTAAGAATAAAATTTAGAGCCAGCTGAGTGGCACGTTGGTTAGGAGTTGGCTTGGGACGCCAGCTCTGAGCAGCAGGGCCTCAGTTCGGATCCCACATGAGGGCCAGTGACACTGCGCCCTCTACAGCTAAGATGGTGAACAACAGCTCGACCTGGAGCTGGGCTGCCGTGAGTCACTGGCGA